CCAAATGTAGTGGATATCACATGTAATATGGATCACTGCTGCCCCCTGCTGGCAGGAGTGATCTCCTGCACCCTCTATTACCAACCTGATGCCCCTGAAAGAGCCTCAAGACAAACATAAATAAAACCTATCCAATAAGAAACGTGTGCAAAATGTAATGTACCCTCAATAACTGAACAGCCAATGTCTTCATACAGTAGCACCAACGTTGCTTAAAAGTGTCTGAATCACAGATTTGCTTGTAAAAAGTTCCACTCTATCGCCTTCTCTACTTTCCTATAAATAAAAAGCCATTTCTGCCTCCCACTTAAATCTCTCCATCATGCAAAATGCACTTTGTGATGTCTTCTCTACATCACCATGTGTCCCCGGTGTGTCCCCGGTGTGTCCCCGGTGTGTGTCCCGTGTGTCCCCGGTGTGTCCCCGGTGTGTCCCCCGTGTGTCCCCGGTGTGTCCCCGGTGTGTTCCCGGTGTGTCCCCGGTGTGTCCCCGGTGTGTCCCCCGTGTGTCCCCGGTGTGTCCCCGGTGTGTCCCCCGTGTGTACCCGGTGTGTCCCCGGTGTGTCCCCGGTGTGTCCCCGGTGTGTCCCCGGTGTGTCAGGAGACTCACAAAGTGTCAGGAAATAAACCCCTCTCTCTTTTCCTCCGTACCCACATCTCTAAAAACGGGGAACAACGGAGCTGATCCAGATTTGCTGCGTCATGACGACATTACTAAAATGTGGGCGGGCTTTAGACCCACGGGCCAATCAGAAACGTTGCTGTCAGAAACAATGAGACGTGTTCTGGAAGTAATATGGTCTGTGTTTACATTAGCATGCTAACACTCAGAGCTAACCTGTACTGGAGAGAGCATGTGTGAAGAAGCAGGAAATCAAAAGGAAGTCACCTTGTGGTAAACCTGAGAGAGAGAAAGAGTTTGAGCTCCATACTGTTTCAGAGAGAATCCTTCATGTGGTTTGGAACATGATATGGAGTTTAGTCACGGCAGCATTTAGCTGAGTTTCTGCTGGGAGAGTTCTCCTGATGAGATCTACTCTCTCTCTGAAGCTACTGACCCAGAGTCAGCTCTTTTGTAACAGCTGGGAGAGAGGGGGGGGGGGGGGGGGGGCTACAAGGATCTGTTTGGGGTTTGGAGCAGGACACTTCAGAGACATGTCCTTAGTAACAGCTGGAAGAGAGGGGGGGGGGGGGGGGCTACAAGGATCTGTTTGGGGTTTGGAGCAGGACACTTCAGAGACATGTCCTTAGTAACAGCTGGAAGAGAGGGGTGGGGGGCTACAAGGATCTGTTTGGGGTTTGGAGCAGGACACTTCAGAGACATGTCCTTAGTAACAGCTGGAAGAGAGGGGGGGGGGCTACAAGGATCTGTTTGGGGTTTGGAGCAGGACACTTCAGAGACACGTCCTTAGTAACAGCTGGAAGAGAGGGGTGGGGGGCTACAAGGATCTGTTTGGGGTTTGGAGCAGGACACTTCAGAGACATGTCCTTAGTAACAGCTGGAAGAGAGGGGGGGGGGGGGCTACAAGGATCTGTTTGGGGTTTGGAGCAGGACACTTCAGAGACATGTCCTTAGTAACAGCTGGAAGAGAGGGGGGGGGGGGCTACAAGGATCTGTTTGGGGTTTGGAGCAGGACACTTCAGAGACATGTCCTTAGTAACAGCTGGGAGAGAGGGGGGGGGGGGCTACAATGATCTGTTTGGGGTCTGGAGCAGGACACTTCAGAGACATGTTTTTATATATCCGTATATATCTGAGACCTATAATATATGCCTAAAAATAGCATGACATGGGACCTTTAAAGCAGCGCTGAGCTCTAGCAGGTCCTGAGTTTGGAGCGTTCATGTTGATTAAACACCAGATTAAAAAGCTTAGCTCTCCCCAGCAGCAGAAGTTTGAGGAATAAAACACTTCTGTTCTTGACTTTCAGAAACTGGGCCACTCCTGATCAGGAAGTTGCACAAAGGCACGCAGGCAGCCTCTTTAATTCACAAGAGCTCGTGAATTATGGGCTTGTTTCCGGGGGAGATAATGGATTTGTATGACAGGCGCTGTAAATGAAAAGGGCCGTTATGGAAATGCCTCCGATGTGCGATGTGCAGCGTGTTGAATGTAATCCATTCACCAAGTGGACGTACTGTAATTACACTCAGAACGTGATAATCAGGAAATTGAATTCCATTATTGTGTCCCTCTTTGGCCGCGTCAAACGCCAGAGGGTAAATGCACCTTTATTCATTTTTAAAGAAATATATATATATATATATATATATATATATATATATATATCAGTGACGTGCGGTGAGGTTCATGGCTGGTGAGGCACTGACTCTTTCAGTCAGATTTACAAATATTATAGCCTATTTTGACCTTAATCGAAATATTCTGTTATTTTCAAAAGCTTTTTTAGTCTGATGCTGTGATTAATTTTAAACAGACCGTTCAACAAAAGGATACCCAAAATCTAAATATTGGATTGTTCTTTCTTAGTAAGATCCCATTTTCATTACAGTTGTGGTCTTACCTTGACTTGAAGATGAAGTCCATGCTATCCTTCTGGACAACAATCTCTATTACTGTTTTGTAAAAGTCCTCCTTATCTTCCTGTAGTTTCAAAAGTCTAGTTTGTTGTTTGCGGTAGAATAACAGTAGCAACAAGAACCTGTGGGCTCACGTGCGCCCCCTTCAGTGCGGCAGAGGTTATGGCTGCCTCTCCTGGTGCTTTTTTCATTGCCGTTGTACGATGAGACCAGCGAGCCTAAATATCATATATACGTGAAATAAGTTATTTAGAGACTATGGATGGCGAGGATAAATGTAATAAAGGGATCTACAAACATTACATTGGTGACCTACAGTGAGATGGGAACAGGCATGCGCTTAGGGCCCGCTTTCCAGCCAGTTTCTGTGGGGTGACGCATTCTGAGGTGAGGCAGAGCTCATCTGTGCCTCACCTCACCCCACGGTAACTGGCTTGAGCGCGCTCACAAAATAAGTGGCCGCGCTAAATTAGTGTCCGTGCTCCAGCAAGTTACTGTGGGCTTACGAGAGGCAGAGCTCATCCCTGCCTCACTTCTCATCGCTCCCGTAGCGGAGCTCGGCAAATTTGCTGATTTTGACTATAAAATGCGATTAGAATCAAACAGAAATCACATTTACACAAGATCAGTGGAGACATTTTATTATTATTACTATTTAGTTTTTCTTTAGTTGTTTTTCCGTTACATTGGAGTATGACAGGTGAGGCTCTGCCTCCCCTGCCTCCCCTGACTGCACGTCGCTGATATATATATATATATTTGTGGTTGCTTTGTGTCTCTTTGTGTGTCTCTTAATAGAGATTAAGAGTTCATTTTGTATGTGTTTGTTGCCATTTTGCATGTATTTGTTTATTCGTGGTTTTTTCCTGTCTCTTTGTAGTCTTTTCGTATTCTCCAGGCAGATGCTGCTCATGAGCTCAACATGGAGTCTGGAAGGCAGTCAAACATTATGTAACGCTGTGTATTTGAATCGTAGCCAAAGGGTGAGGCGTTTTTAATGAATCTGCCTCAGTCATTATGTTTTACCCAAACTGTTAGCATTATCATCAAGACCTCATTAAAATAAACGCTCCTCCATATGTTTCAGTCAACAGGTCCAATTACTAACACTCAAACCCCTGAGGGGAATGACAGATAAAGGTGACAATAAAGAATTATACAAACTAGCCATTTAAACAAAATCATTATTATTATTAAAGACATGTATCATGCATCTTTATGTCTGACCTTGTAATCATTGTATTAATATTAATATTCTTCCTAATAAGACATAACTTGCACCAGACGTAGTCTTGTATATCCAGCTGCATATATGTCACATAACTTGTTTCTTTAGAACAAACAAACAACAGAATTTATGTTTTATCATTATTATTTGGATTTCTCTCAGCGAGTTCACGGTATGTTAGAGTGCATATGTATTTTGTATGAAGGAAAGTAATTTAGGTTGATCATAGAGGTTCACTTTGGGTTTGCTTTGGGTTTTATGGCTGAATTTTGATGTCAGAGGGTAAGGTTTAGGTTGACAATCTTGTTTTATTGACTGTCACCATCTTGGTTTCTGGACCGTCACCATCTTGGTTTTTGGTCGTCGCCATCTTGGTTTCTGGACCGTCACCATCTTGGTTTCTGGACCGTCACCATCTTGGTTTTTGGTCGTCGCCATCTTGGTTTCTGGACCGTCACCATCTTGGTTTCTGGACCGTCACCATCTTGGTTTTTGGTCGTCGCCATCTTGGTTTCTGGACCGTCACCATCTTGGTTTCTGGACCGTCACCATCTTGGTTTTTGGTCGTCGCCATCTTGGTTTCTGGACCGTCACCATCTTGGTTTTTGGTCGTCGCCATCTTGGTTTCTGGACCGTCACCATCTTGGTTTCTGGACCGTCACCATCTTGGTTTCTGGACCGTCACCATCTTGGTTTTTGGCCGTCACCATCTTGGTTCTATTGGCTGTCACTGTCTTTTCACTATCTTGTGTTTGCTATCTTTGTTTCTGGACATCCTCATAATGTTTTCTGGACCGTCACTTTCCTGTTTTCTGGACTCTCATCATATTGTTTTCTGGACTGTCAGAATCTTGGTTATGAAAATTGATTTCATAGTTAATATTGTTTTTTATTTACCCAGTTAAGATGTAATCCTGCATGATTTGAACATGGTTGTTATTTTGTTTATGGGTTTTTCCTGTCACTTATTTCTTGTTTATAATTCTTGATGCAACATTTAAATAGATGTAGGGTGGAATTTTGAAGATTTTTGTGGTAAAACTGGACCTTTTTGTATTTCCTACGGCCTGAAAATGGTAAGTGGGAAAATAACATTCCCAACTCAGTGAATGAGCTCCTTGAGGGTTAAAATGTTCTGTACTGAAGAGATGAAATCAAGTTAAACCAGTTTACTGAGAGCTGTAGAGGAGTGGCTGGTGTTTGTGGAATGAGACACACGTGTGTGTTAAAGTTGAACAAAGAGACATGCCAGGAAACAGTTTGTTATTCTTCATCACTACGGAGAGACGAACGGACTGAAAACCAGACGATCAGATTCACCTTCAGACCAAACTAACAACTTCCTCTGAGTTCAGCTACAGGAGAGAAAAGAGGAAACTACAACACTGCTGCTTCAACCTGAGGACCCTCCACCCCCTGAAGGTGAGTCTGAATCCAACCCCACTAGATACCTGTTGAAACCTGCTTTAAATGTTTTAGGTGATAGACTCCAATGCCAGTAACCTGATTGTATGAACAATCTTTGCTGTGTGGATTAACTGTGAGGGCTCCCTTGGCTGTGTATTTATTTTTAACGCCAGTGATTATTGAGGAAACAGTTAGGTGTCTGTAATCCTGTGGCTACGCAGAGAGCATATACTGTAGAGATTAAATGAAGTTAAACCAGTTACCGATGAGCTGATGAGGAGTGGCTGGCGTTTGTGGAGTGAGACACACCTGTGTGTTAAAGTTGAAAAAATAGACATGCCAGGAAACAATTTGATACCATTCCAACCATTCAAAGGAGTGGCAGCCTGTTCCAGCAGCTCCTATTCATCACTGAGTAGTTTCCTTATATTTAAAGTGGACCTATCATGCTATATTTGAATACTATATTGTAGGGCCATACCTATATAAAACATGTCTGTGAAGTTTCTTTTTCAAAATACCAAACAGATCATGCATTTTAGCCATGCCTCATTTCGCTCTATTTGCTCTATTCCAGCCCTGTTTTTGCAAGGGCTGATTCTGTGACGTAGCTTTAATGCAAATGAGCTGCAGCTGACCACGCCCCCCTGCAGAAGAGGGGGGCGAGGCACGGCCCCGGCACGAGCGTATGCGAATTTGTAAAACGTATGCTAATATTGTTCATGAAAATAAATACTGGTGTATATGGTTTTATGCAACCTTTCATTTCATTCTGTCATTGTACATGGCGTTACTATTATATTATATACTACACAGCAATGGCATAACACACCCATTTGTTGATGACAAAAAAAGTCCACACACAACCTTTTGCTTTTGAAATCTGCATATACTTTACCCATCAAACATAAATAATCATGACACATTTTATATAAACTGTCGGAACTTTGTCAAAATCAACGGTTCATTGAACCCATAAAAAAGACAGTACGCAGCTTCGGTGGGTCAGTCTGACATGCAGAATCTATCATCTATCATCACAGGTTTTCCGCTGGTAGTATGTGAGGTGCTGGCCTGTATAGAAGAAACATAGTTATAACAAAATCATCTCAATTTAGTATTCAGGATGAGAAAATACTATTTGGATGATTATAATCTGAAATCCCAAAAGATGGGGGCTAACGCTGTCTATTTAGCAAAGCTGATGTGTTGGAGAGGGGCTGAGCTCAGTAGACAGACTGTAATGAGTGCAAGCCGATAATTAGCCAAGTCCCATCAACGGAGCTGTGCGGTGTTGTGTTTTTCCCCCCTCTTTGCAACAATTGCGCACACATACACACACACTGTTGTATCCTAACAGTCGTGCACACACACACATATGTATATTCATGTGCGCAAACAAGTAATAAATACTGCTGAATCAAATCACGTCCCAATAGCGTAGCATAGTTTAGCTTACAGATCGATTGATCGGTGATATTTAATAATTCTTACAGACTACAATCACAAAAGCTTTTACATATAACGCTGCAAAAAACGGCACTTACCTACAGAAGATTACGTGTGTTGTTGTCTTACTCAATATGATTTGAGATGAAAATAAAGACTGCTGAATCACATCACGTCTCATTCGCGTAGCGTAGCTTAGCTTAGTTTACAGATCGGTGATATTTGATAAGTCTTATAGACTACAATCACAAAAGCCTTTACATAAAACGCTGGAAAAAACGGCACTTACCTACAGAAGATTACGTTTGTTATTATAGCTTACTCAATATGATTTTAGAGGATAAAAAATACTAATAAATAGGAGAATAAATACTAGTGTTATCGGCTAGGGCGTAGCTTTACAGCCTTCACACAGATCGCCATTACAGCAGTATGTCTGAACAGGTTAGCAAATGCCTGATAGTTGAAAAGACTGCGGAGCTTACAAAATGAAATAAAATGTTACAAAACCATATAAACACCCAACCGATTACTGTTTTGGTTTGAGGCGACATTGATACGGCGAAGCTACATGCTACAAGCTACATGCTACAAACTACGTAGTAGAGATAACTTTATCAGGAAAAACACCGCTAAATAAAAAGGAATGCAAATATTAACATGGAAAAACTTACAGCTTCCAATCCATCCCGGAGGGTTGGTATTGATCCAGTTTTTAGCCTTAGATTGGAAGCATATCCTCTTTTGACTTGAGTGAAGTTCTCAAACATGTCCGAGGTCAAATGTTTAGAACACACAAGCAGACATTTGCAGAGGTGTTCTGGTACAATGAAGTCCAGCCACAGATTCTTCTGTTTCTACAGGCATGGCATTGCATGCAGTCCCTTGTCCCGATTTTTGCAGCCAACAACAGCACAACTTTTCACTGCCTTAGACATGCTGGCAAATAACACAGATGCGACTCGGGGAGATTCAGCCTGCCGACAGCCTATATGGCAATGAGAGGTTGGCCCATGGCCGTGGACGTGGCCCAACCTCTCATTCCCATGATAGGTGGAGCGTTGCCCATGTAGGCGGAGCGTCACCGCCCACTATTCCGGGCTGACGTCAGTTCGGATGGAAATCTGTATCCGCTCGTTGTAGCCCCATTTTTAAAAGATTTGGGTACGGAGGAAAATAGAGAGGGTTGTATTTTCTGACACTTGGTGAGTTCCCTGAAACACCAGGGACACATATTCATGTATAAAAGACGTACAAAAGTGCATTTTGCATGATAGGTCCCCTTTAACATTAAGCTGTATTTGGCTCTTTTCTGCTGTAACAATGTAAATGTCTCCTCTGTGGGACTAATAAAGGTATTCTGATTCTGATTCTGTTCTTCTTCATCACTACAGAGAGACGGACTGAAAACCAGACGATCAGATTCACCTTCAGACCAAACTAACAACTTCCTCTGAGTTCAGCTACAGGAGAGAAAAGAGGAAACTCCAACACTGCTGCTTCAACCTGAGGACCCTCCACCCCTGAAGGTGAGTCTGACTCCAAACATCACTCTGAGTAGATATCAGTGAAGTCAGTAGAGGGGGGGAGGGGAGCCATGACTGACTGTACTTCCTGTCTGCTGTGTTTCAGCTTCACTCAGAGACAACATGGCTTCCAGATCCAACAATGAAGCGGCAAAACACCTGGAGGAGCTTCAGGTGTTGTATCTAACAGCAGGACACCTGACGGTCCAGGCCCGACACACAGAGACGCAGATTAAGAAGCAGTTTAAGAAGCTTCACCAGTTTCTAAAAGACGAAGAGGAGGCCAGGATGGCTGCACTGAGGAAGGAAGAGGAGCAGAAGAGGAAGATGATAGAGGAGAAGATGAAGGCTGTGGGCAGAGAGATAGCAGCTCCACAGCTGCCCTCAGGAGCTCTGATAGACCAGGCCAAACACCTGGGCAACCTCAGCTTCAACATCTGGAGCAAGATGAAGGACATGGTGTCCTACTCTCCTCTCATCCTGGACCCAAACACTGCTGGTTCTGACCTCATCTTGTCTGAAGATCTGACCAGCGTGAAGCGAGGAGAGGAACAGGAACTTCCTGATAATCCAGAGAGGCTTGATTATGTCTTCTCTGTCCTGGGATCTGAGGGCTTTAACTCAGGGACTCACAGCTGGGAGGTCCAGGTTGGAGACAGTACAGAATGGAAACTGGGTGTGTCAGTAGAGTCTGTCCAGAGGAAGGGAATCATAGGGTCTGGAGTATGGAGAATAGATTATCATCAAGGTAACTACTCAGCAGGGTCACCATCAGGTCCAGACACTCCTCTCAGCCTGAAGAAGAAGCTCCAGAGGGTCAGAGTGAATCTGGACTGGGACAGAGGAAAGCTGTCGTTCTTTGGTCCTGACCCTGACACACACATACACACCTTCACACACACTTTCACTGAGAAGATGTTTCCATACATTTCCACTGAGGATGGAGTGAAGATATTACCAGGGAAGGTGTGTGTGAAAGTGGATCAGAGCAGTTAGATCAACAGGAGGATTATATCTCTGATGGAGTTCAACTGAATTTAAAATCTGAAGCTGCAACCTTTATTAAACTGAACTACATGCAGTTAGCTTAGTTTCTTCTCCTTAACACGTGGGACCAACCAAAGCTTGTAAGAATCATGTTTCTCCATAACTCTCATTAACATGGAGTTTGATTTAGAGCCAATGAGAGGAAGAGCTTTCTTCACATGATGAATGATTTCAGATCTTTATGTCGGGTTAGTTTAACCTTTTCTGTTTCATTGATTCTGTGTCATTTTAAATTGTTGTTCATTTCTGATTTGTGTGTGACGGGATCCAGAATAAATACAAACATTTATCCACCTGAATGTTTGAGCGGCCAATCATTTATCAGCTCTGAACAAACACATTATGATTTCTACTTCAGATTATAACGTTTCCAGATATTAAAATCAATGTTTAAACTCATGACATGATATAAAATAAAGAGAGTTTTAGAGCCTGAATTAAAGGCCGCTACACACCCACCTGAGACCAAAGAACGTGTACCGAAGGCGTCCCGACTTTTACGTCAGCTACGCCGCCCGCCTACGAACACACCGCAAATACTTCAGTCGACGAGTGGCAATAACTGTCCTTACCAGCAGGCAGCGGTAGTGTGAACAGCCAATCAGAGTGATTGCTTGGGCCGACTTTCTCTGGCCGCGGGAGGTGTGAAAAGGTGTGAAAAGGTGTGAAAAGGTGCCGTAAAGAGACGACGGTGCGGGACACACCAACCTGAGTAGGGCGCCGCGAATGCCCGACTGCCTCTGACGGCCTCTGACTCCCAAAATCGGGTTGGTGTGTAGCCAGCTTAACACTTGGTTCCTCAGAATCAGGGATTAAAGAAAAGGTTTTATAATCATAAGTATGTTATATAAGTAGTGAATGTTGAACAGGGTCACAAGGGAGAGCCTGGAGGAGTAAACACATTCAGCATATTAAGTTCAATCAGGGTTTTAAACTTCAGGGTTAACTCTGGGTGGTTCACTTCTTACCGGGGTAGATATCCATGGTAACTTTTGGGAAAATCCTGAATGTCCTCTTCCAACATGAGAGTAACATGATAACAAAGGTATCCCAACTGTAGCTGTGAACATGACAGGATGTGTGATTACCTAGAAGAGCATCAGGACTGTTTGAGGCATATGATAGCTATGTAATTAACATGATGATTCAGCCTCTATGGAGATAGACATATGACAAGCATGCTCATTTCTGACGAGGAGCTAATCTGAAGTAAACATTGAATACTGCTTTATATTCTCTATATCTTATATATGTTCTAAAAAGTGTGTACTGTGTGTACTGCATGACCTGTATAAAAAAACGCATGTGTGTGTGTACGACAGAGTGGAAACTGAATTTCCCCCCTCGGGGGATTAATAAAGGTCCTCCTCCTCCTCCTCCTCCTCCTCCTCCTCCTCCTCCTCCTCCTCCTCCTCCTCCTCCTCCTCCTCCTCCTCCTCCTCCTCCTCCTCCTCCTCCTCTCTCCTCCTCCTCCTCCTCCTCCTCCTCCTCCTCCTCCTCCTCCTCCTCCTCCTCCTTCTTCTTCTTCTTCTTCTTCTTCTTCTTCTTCTTCTTCTTCTTCTTCTTCTTCTTCTTCTTCTTCTTCTTCTTCTTCTTCTTCTTCTTCTTCTTCTTCTTCTTCTTCTTCTTCTTCTTCTTCTTACTGTGTAACTCAGATGGAGGATGTAAAAAAAGCGGCAAGATTTGGGACAAACTCTCCTCTCCGGCAGAAACAGGAAATGCTGTAACAACGGTTTAAAAATAAAAATCTTTAATGGCGTTTCTTTTTTATAAACCTCTTTGTGTTTTAAAAACTGATGTTTATAATAAGCTGCTTGGTGTTTGCAACAGTCTGTAAATATACAAGACTTTATAATAAAATGCACACTTTTACAACTTTCTAGACTAAACACGGGTATGTGATTCTGAGTTAAAACAATACGAGGTCAAATGAAGTTGTTAAGATCTGTAAGGAGATATTAAAAGTCTCTTGTTGTGCAGTTTATCAATACATGTTTGAGTTGTTTGTAACAGCGTGTTTCCTGACAAACAAAGGTCCTCAACTGCTGCTGTTGTTGTTGTTGTAAACAACAACATGTTTACTCTCCTTACAGCGGTATTCTGAACAATGATCTCTGTGAGTTACTGTGTGAGGGGATTCACTTCCAGATAAACCCAGTAATTAATACAGATTATAATGCCTGACATCAGGGGCGTCGCCTGGACCTGGAAACATTCGGGGCTGAGCCCACAGTGGCGGTGTAGGTACCAGAATCTGTTCGGGGTTCGTTACGCCGCTTACCAATGACGTCACGCATTGGCTGTACAGCAACCCAATAGGACATTTTACATGGCCAAATTCCGCAAAGAATATTACAAAATAACAATAAACAGTACTGTAAACATTATGTAAATAACCCAATTTGTGTTCTGTGAAACTGAAAAGGATATTACAGTGTTTTTTGTTACTTTTCGTTGGCTGTTGACAGGAAGTTGTTGTTGCTATGGAAACAACATGACGGAGAAAAAAGTAATATCTTCTCCATATAAAGACGTAGAAAGTAAAGAATAACGTGGTGGCCTACCAGATCTGTTACAATGAAGGCTCGATAATCAGCTCACGACATATAGGTGTGTCGTGTGTGTACAGAGTTATAAAGGTTGGTATAAAATCCTTGTTAAATCGGAGAATTAATTCGGGTTACGCCAGAGGTGGCGATATATGCTCCAAGTGGAAGCGATTCGCCATTAAATAAAAGAAGAAGAAGAAGAATTACGCCATCTGGTGTCACAAACAAACGTGTGCCTGCATTAGCTTTGTTACGGCAATGGATTGTGGGAGATTCTCATAACATGTGAGGATCTCTCGAGGGTAAGGTGCCTGTATTATTTTGGTGGACAAAATGTATGTTTTTATTTTATAAGGACTATAACGTTTTGTTGTGTTTGTTTAGTTTAATGTTAATCGTTTAATGCTCACACAGCAGCATGTTTTTTGTGTGTTTGGCTATTGGTTTTATATGATTTATCAACGTGATCATCAATAGCTAATCTGAGCTAATAAGCCAATGGGAGAGCTGCTCCACACGATGCCTCGACTACAAAGTCTTCCATGTTTCTACGCTTCTTCCTCTGTCTCACAGTTTCGGGAATATCAAGATCATTGCACAGGGCCTTGGTCTTGCTTTCTCGTCACTTCGGTAACTTTTCAGTGTGTTCTCAACTGCTGTTTTGTAATTTACTGCCTGCACCAAGTCAATTGTTTCTTTCTGCAGGTATTTGTGCAGGCCCTGAGTGGTTGAGAGCAGTGTCTGGAACAGGACAAGCATGTAGATGGTACTGCATTTGCAAAACTTGCTTTCCAGCCCCTTTGCCAGAGGGGCTGAAAGGCTCCCTAAAGTCTTGGTCAAAGCAGGGAGGTTTTTGACATGCCCAGCGAACAAGTTATTTGTCCCCTACCTCTAGCTGTTTCTGAAATGTTTGCAATCTCTAATGGTGGAGAAGAAAGAGTAGAGACACTCCAGGAGATCAACGCAGGTATGTGAGTTTTGTACACCAGTTTTTTTTAAGTTTAATGTTTCACATTGCTTATGAAAAATATACTACCACTATACGATCACTGATGTTTTGTTGTTGACTGGACACTTATTTTTTTAAAGAGATGGCATGTGAGGATCTCTTAAGCAATGAAGCTCACGTGTCCTTTTTATATGCTGTCCATTGAAATGCAGGAAAGTAATCACCAACTGTGAGTGATCTGTTGCCGAGGGGACACTACACCGGAGTTACATAAGCAGAGGTAAAGTACTATTTTTGGGGGGAACTCCCCCAGGAAGATTTTTTTTAAATATTGAAGTTAAAAGCATCAATCTGGTGCACTTTGAGAGCAACATTAAGAGATCTATACATCTCTCAACACCCATATGTCAAAAAAAATCAAAGAATCAGAATCAGAAACAGGTTTATTATTTAAAAACACTTGATTTTCCAATTAAATCATAAACTATGTCAAATTATTAGAAGTTGTTAGTAATTAGATTTAAACTGAAAAAAGGGATGGAAGGAGGAAATAATAATCCCTCATCACTTGCTTCCTTCCTCACTTGCTGCTTCCTTCATCACATTACCTTTCATTTGCTTCGTTTTTTCTCCCCATCATCACTCGCTGTCTTCACACTCTTTATTGTTTTGTAGGTGGAAGTGTTAGGCTAAATCGCCTTGGTTTGACCTTCGCAAATCGGTCGACGACCTCCCCCATGGAGGGTGACATGGCCAATTAATATTTTTTCCCCAACTCCAGAAAACCTGTTTTGAAGCTCCTCCAGCATTCTGTCGAGAACTGGAAAGAAGAGCCTTGTGTATGTTTGAATTTTCATGTTCTCGAAAAGAATCCAATGCACGCTTCCAGTTTGTGTATCCTGAGGTGGTGAGGGTGTCCCTTTGATCCCTTGATTGCTTTGGTTTGCCATATAGTCTACAACTAAAGCAGAATGCTGCATTGGCAGTGGTAGAATATTCAACCCATTTAAAAGTATCAAACCAACTTGGTTGAAATGATCTCTTTTGCTGGCCAAACATGCCGGATGGAAAACAGTGATGTCTCACTTGCCTTGGCCCTGTATCTGCAGTCCCTAAATCAGTTCCCTAGTTACCCATTGACTCTTGTCTGTTCTGATGTTCCTGTTCATTGTTGTTCTTATCTGTTGTATCTCCTTCTTGTGTGTCCCTTTCTCCTGTTCTCCTTTCTTCATCCTCTACTCTTTCTGGCTCATCTGTGATGACTGTGTAGGTAAACACAAACAAGTATTTAAAATCAGTTTCCAGCTCTGTCAAATAAATGAATTTCAAGATACACAAATTTGTCTTCATTAAAATGAGTGTCACCACACTGTCACAAAATATAATACTAACCAATTGAAAATAGTTAAATTGACATTGGAAACCTCTTGTAGATATCACTGTTAGTAGTTATCTGCCAATAGGAGAGAATCATTCCTATACAAATGCAGTTTGAGTAATTCACTTAATATATTTACTTAACACTTAAATATAGTCATTTTCACGTAATACTCGAATAGTCATCTTTCTGCATTCAAAACTAAGGAAAGCTGTACAATTTGACATGATAATGAGGAAAAAAGGCCTCCGACAATGCAGATTTTTTGATCATATCAATTTTAAGATGGGGGTCGAGGCTTAATATTTGGGAGCATAGTGTCCCTTGTCCCCTTTCAGGAGCCCTACTGGATTAGCTTTGATCTGAAATCTTTGTATATAAAAAGCTTGTTAGCTGGCTGTCCATCTCATAATGTTCACATAGAAACTAGCTATCAATAGGAAATATCAATCAGAATTATAATTTCATGCAAAAATCTGTCACAAAAAGAGGTTGCACATTTAAATTCAGGTGTTATGGCAACGTCAGTGGCCAAACAGCCACATTTACTGCTGCAAATACGTTCAAACGTGCTGTCGACAGTAAAGCAGTGGCAACTAGGCCACCATTTAAACTGACTTTTCTCAGAAATACTGTCACATAACATTCATATATTTCAGTGCTAGTTTGATGCTTAGCTAAGCTAACTATGAAACACTTTAACTGACAGGACTCAGGATCAACTGTGTACTGTAAGGTAGCTTCTAGCTTCCTGTCGAACAGTAAGTCAACATTTCCCAGAGAGCTTTCTTTGAAATCACCAGGTAACGCTAAAAAACACAACATTTATATTGTATGACAAAGTGTTTATTTAATATATCTGGCTCGCTATAGCTACTTGCTAACGGTTTAGATTACCCGTGCGATTCAAAGTAACGTCAACGTAGCTGTAATTTATGCTTTGCTTACATGTTCGCATAACTTGTAAGTTTACTGACATGTACATACCTTGTTCACCTGGCTCAGGTGGTGGCTCTGGGGTTGTTGTGTGAGCCACCACTTGAGTATTGCCGTATTTTTTATTGAAAACATGTCTAATGACCATCTTCAGAATCTCCGCGTCCGGGGCTGACAGTTTAAAGTTTAAACATTGTCACAGAGGAGAGGTACGTACCTGTCAGCCAATAAAACACGTTTATTTCCATGCAACTCTCTGATTGGTCTGGTGGTGTCTTGGCTTGCCTATGTTGCATTCACCGAACACGGGAAATTACAAATCTGCCGTCCTATAGGTAAAGAAGTACGGTTAATGTATTATATTGAGGGAGAATTTGTCCGGGGCTAAAGAAAAAACATCCGGGGCTAAAGCCCCGGATGCCTACCCCAGGCGACGCCACTGCCTGACATCATTTAGACATTGGGTCAGGGGGGAATTATATTATTTAAGACAAACAGAGTCAATAAAGACATTTGAAATATTTTATTGAACTTATTGATATATTTATAACTCTCCAAAAACTACCTAACTCTCCAAAATAACTCCTTAACTCCACCTTAACTCTCCAAAAACCACTTCAACTCTCCAAAATAACTAATTAACTCTCAAAGATAACTCCTTAAGTCTTCAAAATACCTCCTTAACTCTCCGAAATAACTCCTTAACTCCACCTTAACTCTCCAAAAACCACTTTGACTATCAAAAATCCCTCCTTAAGTCTCCAAAAAAACGTAACTCTCCAAAATACAACATAATTTACCTATTTTATTATTTTTGTGTGGTACTACACCCTCCAGTACAGTAGGTGGCGGTAATGCGCCAAACAGAGAAGAAGAAGAAGTGTGATTACGTCACAGGAACCCAAACAGCCGTGCTCAGCTGCTGTTGTTGTGTCTGTAAACAACAACATGTTTCCTCTCCCTACAGCGGTATTTTAAACCATGATCTCCGTGAGTTACCTCCTGCTGTGCGGACAGCTGCTGCTCCTGATCTCCGTGATTCTGCTTCAGTTTCTGGAGGGGATCCACTCCCAGAACTCCTCCAGCCCCGCGAGTCCCGAGGCCTCCTCCTCCCCGGGCCACAGAGCCTCAGAGCCGGGCAGCAGAGCCACGGAGCCCCCGGCCTCCAGCCAGCTGCCTCCGGAGCTCCAGAGCTACGAAGCCCCGGCGGAGAGCACCAACTACACGGAGCCTTTCGAGTACAAACCTCGGTCTCCGGTGGTCCTGTGCAGCTACCTGTGAGTAGCATCACTGTGATAGCATTAGCACGCTACATGTTAGCATAGAGATGGCAAAAGTACACACATCCTTTACTTAGGTAGAAGTACACATCCTTTACTCAGGTAGAAGTACACATCCTTTACTCAGGTAGAAGTACACACATCCTTTACTCAGGTAGAAGTACACACATCCTTTACTCAGGTAGAAGTACACACATCCTTTACTCAGGTAGAAGTACACATCCTTTACTCAGGTAGAAGTACACATCCTTTACTCAGGTAGAAGTACACACCCTTTACTCAGGTAGAAGTACACATCCTTTACTCAGGTAGAAGTACACATCCTTTACTCAGGTAGAAGTACACATCTTTTACTCAGGTAGAAATACACACATCCTTTACTCAGGTAGAAGTACACACATCCAGGTATTTGTGTTCAACATGTAAGAAGTAGAAAGTACAGGTATTTGTGTTCAACATGTAAGAAGTAGAAAGTACAGGTATTTGTGTTCAACATGTAAGAAGTAGAAAGTACAGGTATTTGTGTTCAACATGTAAGAAGTAGAAAGTACAGGTATTTGTGTTCAACATGTAAGAAGTAGAAAGTACAGGTATTTGGGTTCAACATGTAAGAAGTAGAAAGTACAGGTATTTGTGTTCAACATGTAAGAAGTAGAAAGTACAGGTATTTGTGTTCAACATGTAAGAAGTAGAAAGTACAGGTATTTGTGTTCAACATGTAAGAAGTAGAAAGTACAGGTATTTGAGTTCAACATGTAAGAAGTAGAAAGTACAGGTATTTGTGTTCAACATGTAAGAAGTAGAAAGTACAGGTATTTGTGTTCAACATGTAAGAAGTAGAAAGTACAGGTATTTGAGTTCAACATGTAAGAAGTAGAAAGTACAGGTATTTGGGTTCAACATGTGAGAAGTCAAAGTAAAAAGTAGTCAGTAAAGTACTGATACCAGAAAGATGTACTTAAGTACAGTAACAAAGTATTTGTACTCCAATACTTCCCACCTCTGATCATGTTAAATATAAAAAATTAGCAGGAATTCAACACACAGTAAAGCGAGTGCTTCGTCCCCTGCATCAAGTAAGACCACAAACATTTGATAAAACCCAGAGGAAATTAGATTTAATTACATACATGTACACTCTTTTTTTTACCAGTGAATGCACATGAATGACTTTGCAAAAAGGTACAATTATAAATAAATATTAGTGACAGTTACAACAAAATAAGGTGAATAACGTTGATCATTTATTATTTTATATGAATTTAAATCAAATAGTTAGTATACCTGTTAGAAACTCTCCCTGATCCCCGGCTTGATCTTCAACATCAGGATCCATGTATCTGTGATCCTCTCCAGAATGGAAGTAGTCATCACATACAGAGCATCAACTAGTTCCTGAACAGTGTCCTTCACATGCTGATATCCAAGAGAGGGAGTTACACAGTCACAAGATGGAGGGATACAGGTTCTTGTCAGAAATCATACTTCCTGTCATGAACAAAATACTCAGTTTTTTCCTCAACCTTTTGGCTTTTTTCGGAAAATCTCAAAATTCTGACTTTCTCTCAAACAATTCTATAGCGCTTTTCCTAATGCTCAAAGACGCTTTACATAAAAACAGAAACGGAGACATAGTCCTAATCCAAGTGCGAGTAAAGTGTGTGGGTTGTTGATCAGAGTTTGAAAGCTAGAGTGAATAAGTGAGTTTTGAGAGATTTTTTTTTTTGAAGGCACTTAATGTGTGTGTGTGTGTGTGTGTGTGTGTGTGTGTGTGTGTGTGTGTGTGTGTGTGTGTGTGTGTGTGTGTGTGTGTGTCCTTCCTTCCTTCTGAAGCCCGGAGGAGTTTGTGTTCTGTCAGGACCCGGTGGACCACGCAGGAAACCACAGCGCCTTCCTGGAGCTGGGACACGGCTGCGTGGGGGTGAGGGGTTTATTTTATCTCTCCAAAATACCTCCTTAAATCCACCTTTACTCTCCAAAATACCTCCTTAACTCTGAAAATACCACCTTTACTCTCCAAAATACCTCCTTAACTCTGAAAATACCACCTTAACTCTACAGAATACCTCCTTAACTCTGATAATACCACCTTAACTCTCCAGAATACCACCGTAACTCTGATAATACCTCCTTAACTCTGATAGTACCTCCTTAACTCTGATAATACCACCTTAACTCTCCAGAATACCTCCTTAACTCTCCACAATACCTCCTTAACTCCAACTTAACTCTCCAGAATACCCCTTTACTCTCCAGAATACCTCCTTAACTCTCCAGAATACCCCTTTACTCTCCAGAATACCTCCTTAACTCTCCAGAATACCCCTTTACTCTCCAGAATACCTCCTTAACTCTCCAGAATACCCCTTTACTCTCCAGAATACCTCCTTAACTCTCCAGAATACCTCCTTAACTCTGATAATACCTCCTTAACTCTCCAGAATACCTCATTAACTCTGATAATACCACCGTAACTCTCCAAAAACCACCTTAACTCTCCTAAATACCTCCTTAACTCCAACTTAACTCTCCAGAATACCCCTTTACTCTCCAGAATACCTCCTTAACTCTCCAGAATACCACCTTAACTCTCCAGAATACCACCGTAACCCTGATAATACCTCCTTAACTCTGATAGTACCTCCTTAACTCTGATAATACCACCTTAACTCTCCAGAATACCTCCTTAACTCTCCAGAATATCTCATTAACTCTCCAGAATACCTCCTTAATTCTGATAATACCACCTTAACTCTCCAGAATACCTCATTAACTCTCCACAATACCTCCTTAACTCCAACTTAACTCTCCAGAATACCCCTTTACTCTCCAGAATACCTCCTCAACTCTCCAGAATACCACCGTAACTCTGATACTACCTCCTTAAGTCTCTACCCCAGCCTGTATTGACCCTTTTCCCTGTGTGCAGTGGGGGGGGCAGACTCAGAAGGAGGTGAACCATACGAAGGTTGTGTGTTCGGCGCTGGACGACATCGAGTGTGCCGGAGCACGAGAGTTCCTGAGAGGCAACTTCCCCTGCATCAAGTAAGACCTCAAACACTTTGTAAATCCTGAAGGAAATTGTCATTTTTTGAATATATATATTATTTGTTATTATTAATGTCTCTTTTGATCAGATCGAAAAAATATTCACGTGGTCCTAAACTTATTCCATTACAAAAAACATGATGGTATTCTCTCTACTGAATCAAAAAAACATTTATTCATAATATAATGAATATAAAACCTATTTAATCTGCACATATACTGTATCTAACGGGAACATTTACATTATTACAACAGCAGAAGGAAAGAGAATAGACTTACATATTAAAAAATAACAAAGTATGCACACGTTATTAATAATAAAGAACACAATAGGTACAAAACAAATGGCAGATAAATACACTATGGTAAATAAATACATTGAAAGAAAAATAATAAAAAGGGTAGAGGGTTGATTAAAAGTCATCACTGTGTGTCTCAGGTACACCGGGCACGACTTCCTCACCACGCTGCTCTACTCTTTCTTCCTCGGATGCTTAACTCTGCAAAATACTACCTTAACTCTGCAAAATACTACCTTAACTCTCCAAAATAACTCATTAACTCCACGTTAACTCTCCAAAATACCTCCTTAAGTCTCCAAATACCACCGTAACTGTCCGAATACAACCTTAACTCTGCAAAATACTACCTTAACTCTCCAAAATAACTCATTAACTCTCTAAAATACCACCTTAACTCTCCAAAATAACTCCGTAACTCTCCAAAATAACTCAAGTCTCCAAATACCACGTTGACTTTCCAAAATACCACCGTAACTCTCCAAAATACCACCTTAACTCTCCAAAATACCACCGTAACTCTCCAAAATACCACCTTAACTCTCCAAAATACTACCTTAACTATCCAAAAATAACTCCTTAACTCCACGTTAACTCTCCAAAATACCTCCTTAAGTCTCCAAATACCACCGTAACTGTCCGAATACAACCTTAACTTTCCAAAATACTACCTTAACTGTCCAAAATAACTCCTTAACTCTCCAAAATAACTCCTTAACTCTCCAAAATACCACCCTAACTGTCCGAATACAACCTTAACTTTCCAAAATACTACCTTAACTCTCCAAAATACCTCCGTAAGTCTCCAAATACCACCTTAACTGTCCAAAATAACTCCTTAACTCTCCTATAAACACCTCAACTCTCCAAAATTACTCCTTAACTCTCCAACATACTACCTTCACTGTCCAAAATAACTCCTTAACTCTCCTATAAACACCTCAACTCTCCAAAATTACTCCTTAACTCTCCAACATACTACCTTCACTGTCCAAAATAACTCCTTAACTCCACGTTAACTCTCCAAAATACCTCCTTAAGTAATTTAAAGTGTCCCCTGTGTGTCTTTCAGGTACACCGGGCACTACTTCATCACCACGCTGCTCTACTCCTTCTTCCTCGGGTGCTTCGGGGTGGACCGGTTCTGCCTCGGTCACACGGGCACGGCGGTCGGGAAGCTTTTGACGCTCGGGGGTCTCGGCATCTGGTGGTTCGTGGATCTGATCCTGCTCATCACCGGCGGGTTGATGCCCAGCGACTACAGCAACTGGTGCACCTACTACTGAGGAAAGAGGGTTAGAAACAGAGGGAGATGAGATGAGATAAGGTGGAACTTTATTCATCCTCTTGGGGAAATTCAGGCGTTTAATGGCAGCAACATGGTCAGTTAAAAAAAACACAAGGTAAAAATAAAGACAAATAGAATAAAATAATTTAAATAATAGTCTCCAAAAAACACCTTAACTACCTACTAAAATACCACCTTAAGTTTCCAAATACCACCTTAACTGTCCAAAAATAGATTTAAAGTGTCCCCTGTGTGTCTCAGGTACACCGGGCACTCACGCTGCTCTAATCAGATTTGTTTTTATAGGAAAACAGAATCTCAGAATTCCAACTTTTTTTTCTCAGAATTAAAAAAAAAAATCTTAAAATTCCGACCCCACAACTTTTTTTTCTTAGAATTCCCACTTTCCCCCTCACAGAACTTCAACTTTTTTTTCTCAGAATTCCCAAAATGTTTTCTTAGAATTCCCCAAAAAAATTCTCAGAATTCCCAAATATGTTTCTTAAAATTCCGACTCACATTTTTTTCCTCAGAATTCTGACTTTTTTTTCTTATAATTCCGACTCACAGAACTTCTAATTTTTTTTCCCACTACTCACATTTTTTTTCTTGGAATTCTGATTTATTTTCTCACAACTGCGACTTTTTTCTCAGAATTCCCCAAAATTTTTCTTAGAATTCCAACTTTTTTTTCTCAGAATCCCCAAAAATTTTCTTAGAATTCTGACTTTTTTTTCCCACAACTCACATTTTTTCCTCCAATTCCGAGATCTCATGTGTTTCTCACGCGTGGCCGTAACCCTCCTCCGTTTAAAACCAAGATGTGTTTCTCTTGAAAATGTCCTGGAGTCTCTTTAAGATGTTGTACATACTTTTGATCGTGAAGGGATTTATTTTGTACTGTTCTATTTATGCCTTATTGAGTCAGAAAATACGTGTCATGGTGAAATAAATACATACAAATATACACAAATGTTTCTGTAGATTTCTCCTAAATTCAGAATTACATGATGCCTCATTTGCATATTTAATTACAACATGTCAGAGAATAAGATATTTAAAATAATGGTGTTAATGTCAGTAAGGAAAACACACAAAAACATAATTTATACAAAAATACTTTGACTTTATTGTGTATATCGCAGGAAGTCTGTGGTTATTATACATATACTTATTGTGTGTGTGTGTGTGTGTGTGTGTGTACCTGCAGTGTTTTTGTGTGTGTCTGTGAGGTCTCTCAGCTGATCCACAGTCAGCTGATCAGACTCGGGTCCAATCCCAAACCGCCCCCTACACACTACCCCTACACACTACCCCTCCGTTTGCGCGTTCGCACGGAGGGTCCACCACATTAAGTGCTGTTCCAAACCAACGAGTGTGGAGCGGTGTGGAGGGGGAGTGGGCTATCAAGCCCTCAAACAGCGAGTCTGCAGCGGTGCTGACTGGAGACCGGTCTCTACCTGACCGGAGTCACGCTGTGTGTGTCCGTCAGGAAACACGCTGTTTACAAACAGTTCCAGCAAACATCCACTGATAAACTGCATTGTTAACAACCTCATGATAACCTCATATGTTTTTAACTTAGGATCGTACCTGTGTTTAGTCTAGAAAAAGGTAAATGTGTGCATTTTATTATAAAGTTGTGTATATTTACAGATTGTTGCAAAAACTAAGAAGCTTATAAACATCAGGTTTAAAACTAAAAGAGCTTTACAAAAAAGTAACACAATGAAAGATGTTTGGAGTTTTATTTGAGTTATTAATTTAATGTTTTTGTCTAAGAGATGCTGATTTGAAACCGTTGTTACATACAGTTACGGCATTTCCTGTTTCTGCCGGAGAGAGGGGAGGCCGTCCCAATGCGGTGCGCTGTATTTATCCCCTTAACCCTTAATGGAGGGAACTTCATTCAGCTGCGAGTGTGGCTACAGACGGAGTTCACTCGAGGGGGTACGGTCGAGGGAGTGGGCCTACAACATGTCCCTGCTGAGTTGCCTGTTCAGAAGTTCCAGTTTCCTCTGCTGACCGACGCTCTGTGAACGCATCACATGACCCCACAATCAATCCCAGCATGCATTGCGGCTGCATTTAACCCCCTGTATTTCATAAGTTCATACGTTTTTATCTTATCATTTGATATTTGCCTTTTTCGCATCGGAGGTTGATTTTTTCTCTGTCTTCATGTCAAAACCACTTCGACGAGGATGGGATTCGAACCCACGCGTGCTGAGCACAATGGATTAGCAGTCCATCGCCTTAACCACTCGGCCACCTCGTCTGTGAGCCTGCTCTGCTCTGATTGGTTACCTGTCAGGCTCTGTTGTGATTGGTCAAACAGTTAACCACTCGGCCACCTCGTCTGTGAGCCTGCTCTGCTCTGATTGGTTACCTGTCAGTCTCTGTTGTGATTGGTCAAACACTTAACCACTCGGCTCACCTCGTCTGTGAGCCTAGTTTCTGTCATGTGATTGTGACGTGCTATATGTGACATGTATGTAGTAACGTGTGTTGTTTGCATGTTATTGTTCTCTTTTATCCTCTCGCCTCTATCTACTCGTCTTTCATCCTTTCTTTATAACTAATGCTGTTGATGTGATTTTAAAAAGGTGTCATCTGTTATTATCTGGACAACAGCTGGGAATTAGCCATGTTGGCTAAAGCTGCTCCATTTACTGTTCTTAGTGACAGACAGTTGATCAATGGGGACTGTCCACGACCCTATACACAAATACACTAAATCTTTCAGGTTCTCATGTTATAGATAATGGATAATATAATCATAATAGGGAGTCACAGTCAGAATTCAGAATAAAACAGATATTTTCTCTCCACACAAAGCTGCTTGAATAAACACAAATGTTAATGGAGGTCAAAAAGCTACGGGAAGTTTTCGGCAAATACACTTTTATTTTGAAATCAGTACAAAGATGTTGATTTATTGTGTACTGCTGAGTGTAGTAAATAATAACAATATAAATAAATACAGAAATAAACGGAGATGAATAAATAAACGTGGGTTGTTGTAGTTAAACAGAAAAATTACTAAAATGTAATGTCTGTTCTAAATTTCATCTAAATCTTTAAGCCAGTTTGAGTTTTTCAGAATAAAAGTCTCTCCATTATCTCTCAAAGTGCTGTGAGTTTAAAGAGACGTGTCCTGCTGAGTGTTTTATAAAGAGTTCATACTCTGTGCAGTCAGATAAAACCTGACCTTTGGAAGCAGAGACACTCAGGAGCCAACAGCTGATCCTCCGTTACTGAGCTCTGTGCTCTGTTACTTCTCTCAGAGGGGAATTAGCTCAAATGGTAGAGCGCTCGCTTAGCATGCGAGAAGTAGCGGGATCGATGCCCGCATTCTCCAGACACACTTTTAACTCTACTTTTAAGAGTCCTCTCCTGCTGATGTTCAGGTGTATATCAGTATGTAGTGTCTCTACTTTAAAGAGTCCTCTCCTGCTGATGTTCAGGTGTATATCAGTATGTAGTGTCTCTACTTTAAAGAGTCCTCTCCTGCTGATGTTCAGGTGTATATCAGTATGTAGTGTCTCTACTTTAAAGAGTCCTCTCCTGCTGATGTTCAGGTGTATATCAGTATGTAGTGTCTCTACTTTAAAGAGTCCTCTCCTGCTGATGTTCAGGTGTATATCAGTATGTAGTGTCTCTACTTTAAAGAGTCCTCTCCTGCTGATGTTCAGGTGTATATCAGTATGTAGTGTCTCTACTTTAAAGAGTCCTCTCCTGCTGATGTTCAGGTGTATATCAGTATGTAGTGTCTCTACTTTAAAGAGTCCTCCCCTGCTGATGTTCAGGTGTATATCAGTATGTAGTGTCTCTACTTTAAAGAGTCCTCTCCTGCTGATGTTCAGGTGTATATCAGTATGTAGTGTCTCTACTTTAAAGAGTCCTCTCCTGCTGATGTTCAGGTGTATATCAGTATGTAGTGTCTCTACTTTAAAGAGTCCTCTCCTGCTGATGTTCAGGTGTATATCAGTATGTAGTGTCTCTACTTTAAAGAGTCCTCTCCTGCTGATGTTCAGGTGTATATCAGTATGTAGTGTCTCTACTTTAAAGAGTCCTCTCCTGCTGATGTTCAGGTGTATATCAGTATGTAGTGTCTCTACTTTAAAGAGTTCTCTCCTGCTGATGTTCAGGTGTATATCAGTATGTAGTGTCTCTACTTTAAAGAGTCCTCTCCTGCTGATGTTCAGGTGTATATCAGTATGTAGTGTCTCTACTTTAAAGAGTCCTCCCCTGCTGATGTTCAGGTGTATATCAGTGTGTAGTGTCTCTACTTTAAAGAGTCCTCTCCTGATGATGGAACACAGGGATTGTAGCCTTTGCAGACATGCACTACAGAAGAGGGAGCACCACAGAACGGCCTCTTTAAAATACTTGAAGCCCTTTGGCCTGTCACACTTGGAATTTGTACCAGATTACGTAAGAGTTCAGGTTTCACACACACACACACACACACACCTTTGATATACATCTGTGTTTCAAAACTACTCCGACGAGGATGGGATTCGAACCCACGCGTGCAGAGCACAATGGATTAGCAGTCCATCGCCTTAACCACTCGGCCACCTCGTCTGTGAGCCTGCTCTGCTCTGATTGGTTACCTGTCAGGCTCTGGTGTGATTGGTCAAACACTGAAAGATGTCCCGCCCTCAAGCTTAACAAGTACAATGTGTAAAGTAAAACTTTATTATTATTTCTATTTCACAATTTTTTATTACAGAATTTATTTATTTTTGCATGTATTTATTTCACCATTTATAAAAGTATTTAATTACCATATTTATTCATAGATTTCTGTACTACTTTATTACTTTGTGATACTTAGGCCTTCTTCCGTCCTGCATAGCTAAGAGAAAAGGTCTGTTTTATTCTGAATACTGACTGACTCCCTATTATGATTATATTATCCATTATCTATAACATGAGAACCTGAAAGATTTAGTGTATTTGTGTATAGGGTCGTGGACAGTCCCCATTGATCAACTGTCTGTCACTAAGAACAGTAAATGGAGCAGCTTTAGCCAACATGGCTAATTCCCAGCTGTTGTCCAGATGATAACAGATGACACCTTTTTAAAATCACATCAACAGCATTAGTTATAAAGAAAGGATGAAAGACGAGTAGATAGAGGCGAGAGGATAAAAGAGAACAATAACATGCAAACAACACACGTTACTACATACATGTCACATATAGCACGTCACAACCACATGACAGAAACTAGGCTCACAGACGAGGTGAGCCGAGTGGTTAAGTGTTTGACCAATCACAACAGAGCCTGACAGGTAACCAATCAGAGCAGACAAGGCTCACAGACGAGGTGAGCCGAGTGGTTAAGTGTTTGACCAATCACAACAGATACTGAGAGGTAACCAATCAGAGCAAACTAGGTTCACAGACGAGGTGGCCGAGTGGTTAAGGCGATGGACTGCTAATCCATTGTGCTCTGCACGCGTGGGTTCGAATCCCATCCTCGTCGAAGTGATTTTGACATGAAGACAGAGAAAAAAGAATGTGGTCTGACCGGGTTTCATAGGTCATGGGAAGCAACTGCGTGTTCCAACGTGTGTGTGTGTGTGTGTGTGTAGCCTGAACCCTTAAGGCTTAAGAGCTTGTTTTAAAGAGGCCCTATTCTGCCATTCTGTGGTGCTCCCTCTCCTGTAGTGTGTTCTATAGGTTTTAGTGCATGTAAATGGTCTGCAGACGATAATAAGTCCCTGTGTTCTAGACCCCCCCCCTGCCTGAAAACGCCTCTCCATTGGACTCCTTTGTTTACTTCCGGAACATAGTGACATCACTGCAGAACACTCGCGCTCCTATTGGCTAGCAGCTGAACATGAGCAGAATAGGGCTCCTTTAAAGAGTTATAGGGCAATACATAAAGAATAACACGTTGCCTACACTGTTTGGCAACGTATCAGCTCATTAGAATAAATACAGGAATAAAA